GCACAAGATGGGTGATGTGGTCAGCATCACGCCGGCCGCCTTTACATCTCGGGACTGCACCCGGTACCCACTCCAGGCTGGGTCAACCTGGGAGTCAAGGTCATTTTTGATAAAAGTCCAGCTCAACCAGGGAGCGAACCTACGACCTTCCGATCCGCACACGAGCGTCTAGCCGCTACGCCACGGCGACTACCAGTGCAGTCTTAGCTTGCCCTGTTCTGTTCCCTTGTAACTTTGTTAAACCAGACATCTAGCGGAATTTAGACGGTAAACCAGAGATCTAGCTTAATTTAGATGTTAAAGCAGACATCTAATGGAATTTAGATGTTAAACCAGACACCAAGCGGAATTTAGATAAACCACACATCTAGCGGAATTTAGATGTTATCATGCATCTAGCGAAGTTTAGGGAAAAAATTGACCCTGGTTCTCAGGTCGAGCTAACCCAATATGAGTACAAGTGAAAGCCATGGGAAGTAAAGGCGGAAAGCGTTTTTTTTTATCACCCCACCCACCTAGAGCGATGGGTCGAAGTAATAAGTCTAGCATCATATGCATGGTACGCCTCTGGTGTGGAAAGTACCTTGGGTTCCATGACCCCGTTTTGATAGGATTTTGTATGTGTATGTGTTTAAAATAAAATAAGCTTTTATTACTTGAATTGTATACAATAATCAACGTATTAAGAAGAATATATTATTATATCGTTATTGGACAACTGAGAAGAGAAAGTGAACTCTTAAAAGCTATATAGATCTTATCTTGATATTAGGGCGGTACCGAATAGTGGTTTTCACTATTCGGCCAAATACGAATAGTGGGACCAACTATTCGGCCGAATACGAATACGAATACGAATAGTGTATCATCATCATCAGGTGCCTCGCCGACTGGTGTGGCGATTTTGCCTCGCCACAATCTGCGATCTCCTGCAGCATGTATCAGTTTGTGTGCTGACACACCTCCATGACACACAACGACTGTCAAGAATCTTCTCTCGTTGTCTTTTTCTATCTCTCCTTCCACAAATCTTTCCAGTGGTCACCACATGTTCCATTTTCACTCTTTCTATATGATGACTGTCTTCTTCTGATGTCTGCGATTAGGTGTCTTCGGGCTCCCGCCTCTTTCAAAACCTAGTGGTTGCTTTTTTTAAGCTGTCCAATGTATTTTAAGCATTGTTCTGTAAAACCACATCTCTGAGGCCTCAAAAAATTGTTTGGCCTACCTACCGATTGTCCAGGACTCATTGCCATATGTTAAAACTGGATGTATGTAGCAAGCAAGACAACGATATATTGCACAAGATGTTCTTTTTTTTTAAATATAAAATGCATTTTTAGCCTGTCCTATTTTGTTTTTTATTTTAGTAATGCATCTTTCATCTGATTTTATCCATGTGTCAAATTCGCAATTAAATCATTTTTCGTTCAGGCGTTCGTTCAATGTAATTTAAATGCACCTTCATATTCTCGTTTGCAATATCTTCAATTTGATTTGAGAAAAGACACCCCGAAAGAACAAAAAAATGCACGCTTTCTCTTTGTCTCTCTTTCTCTCTCTCACACACACACACACACACACACACAGAGAGAGAGATACACTTTCAAGTTTCTTCATGCCTTCTTTAACACAACAGTAGCGATGCCTAAATCTTTCGTAGTGGGAAAAACGGCGACCCGTTTGCGTGGTAACAGCGCCTGACTTCGAGGCATTACAGTAGAGGTTCTAAAACTTGGTGCGTATGACAGGGGTGCCGCGGCGAAAATCAAGAAAAGTCGGCTATAAATTGTGACATTATTAATGAGAGAGTTATTTTAGTCTATCGCAGTGTATGCAGAAATCACTATTCGTATTCGGCCGAATACCGAATAGCTAGTAGGTCCACTATTCGGCCCCGAAGCGAGTACGAAGCGAATATTCGGTACAGCCCTACTTGATATACAGAAGTGAATCATGGACAGCTGGTAGATTAGTGAAAAACGAGATAGGATACTGTTTACGAATTTTAGCAACTTATCTATACAGTATTCATCTACAATTTTGTACAGAAAATAATAAAAACGCGGGGCGCATAAAAACCCAAAACATAATATTCGACTCAACGTGTCACAAGTAAAAGCCACCATAGTTTCAAATGTGATTAAGTTGTTATGTATACATATATGTGGGTGCCCCAGGTTTCTGTTATAGACCCACTACTCCCAACGTATATGTAGTCAAAGACGACTAACTGGGACTCGGCTGAAATCAAATTTGTTGAACCGAAAGGCGAAGACATCACAGCCTAGCTGTAAACCACCACAAGACGTACCAGCGGCCCTTTTAAGGGCGAACAAAGAAGAAGAAGAACAAGAACAAGAAGAACTCACCTATCCCTGTATCTACTATTGATTGCTTTCATTTTTATGAGAAATTATATCCTTGTTGCAAAATCGCAAATTTGGTTATAATCATCATAATCAAATGTTACTGGCATCTTCAGTTTTAATTATACTAGTATGCCCCTCTCCCCCACCGCTCCCTCTCCTGCTGAGTTGTAATTGCAGTTGTAAATTGCAGAAGGAAAACCCACGTGAAACGATAATGCCATCTTCAGAAACGAGGTACATCCCACTCATTAGTTTACCAAAAATCTCATCTACGACTTTTGGTTCGCCGTTGCTATGGTAGTGTGTGCAATATTGTAGGAGGCTACATCTGCAGGTTGGTAATTTGTTTCGTAGGGAAGGCTGCTACTATCATTTCAATCAACGTATATAATTCTGCAGGTTAGTAAAAGGACCCTTTTCCACTCCTTAAGGCCAATTGGGAGTATAGGGCTAGTCCTGTATTTGTATAGACTAATGGGCACTTGGCGGGTGATGTGGTTACCATCACGCCGGTCGTCTGCAGGCTAGTAGTTTGTAAAGTAAAAAAGGGTAGTTGATGATATCCCTTCGAACAAAACGAAGTCCCTAAATCAGTCGCTGATGTGTTGAGAAACTGCTAGTGTTAAATGCTTCGTTAATCAGGTGTCATCTCCCTAGTGAAGGTTGGATTCTGTGAATCTCCAACACTGTCTTGTGCCTTGATGTTTGTACACTCTATACACACACACTCACACACACACACACACTCATACACACACACACACACACACACACACTCTCTCTCTCACACACACACACACACTCACACACACACACACACACACACACACACACATATATATATATATATATATATATATATATATATATATATATATATATATATATATATATATTAAAATGATGATGATTGATGATAATTAATATATTGACAGTGTATTGATCGGTACTCACATAAAGAAGTAAAGAGACAGAAAAACACACACTAGACAACATAAAATTGTCAGCGTCAGTTACCGTGCCGGGAATCGAACCTGTCAGCTCCAAATGGTGTGTGCGCCTCGCTATGGAGACAAGCATACTAAGAACACAACCATCTAGACATATTTTCTTATTGCTAGATCATTGATTGTCTGGGTCTCTGAACCATTCACTAGAGCTGGAAATACATAACATTTGACAGTTCTTTTTTTTACTATGTAGATTATCGCTCTTCTTTCTCTTCTACGTCATCGCGTTTGCCCGCTGTAAACTCCGACGGAAATTTCTGCTTGTTCGTCCACTTCTGGACTTTGGTCTTGTTCCAGAACTTGAGTTTTACTTGCACATCCGTTTTAACAGTTATGGCTTATTTGTATGAAGAATGTTGTTTCCTTGTATCTTAAGCAGATGCACTCTGATTTCGAAACACCCCTATTCAGTCGACTTTTACGACATGCTTGTTGGTTTCTGGCCCTGTATGCCCAAACACCCGAAGGCGTGGAAAAGGGTTCTTTACTTGAAAAAACCACATCTCTGAGGCCTCAAGAAATTGCTTGGATTGTTTATTAGTGGTGCAGGATTCACATACATTGTATTTTCCATGGTACCAGTAACTGTCTGATTGTACGTCCGTCTCGCTTTTTCCTTGAGTGTAGGGCGTCGGTCAGATCCTCTGGTAACTCCTCGCAGCGCCATTCTCCTCAGACTGTAATGATCTGTCTGTGCCCCAGTTTCCCTTATGGATCCCGTTAACACAAGGGCGTACGTAGTACCTACCATTTAGAGCTCTGATCATGTATAATAGCAATTAATTTGTGAAAACAACAGTAAATTAAAACACAGTAAGGCTGTTTGTAAACTATATCTTTTTTTAGGTTATTTCGACGTTATTCTCCCAAAAAAGAGTAGGTCACTTTTCATTCACAAGTTTGTTGGGCTGGTCGACTTTCCTGAAGGTTACGGGTTTGTCCCGCTCTGTTTTTTTGGTTTCTTCGATGTCTTGTATTTACGTTTTCATTCCGAGAAAGAGAATGCCTGTGACATAGGTTGCAGCACTCTCTATGGGAGTTGTGTTAAGCCCAGTTTCTCCAGATTTTTGGAGTGTTAAAAGCGCTGGCGTGCTTAAATATACAACACGCGATATTAACGGCGGAACACCGTAACCTTGTGCACAGGGAACAGGGCTCAGGAACTACTAATCAGAAGTGAACTAGTGTGTATATGGGCGGAGTCTGGTGAGACTAACGTCGAACTAACCCTTTTCTTTTCATTGTGTCCTTTGCAGGTGGCAGTCAAGGGTCATTCTGTTAAACAGGAAAAAGCTGCATAACAATCTGGATGGTTCGGTTGCCATTTTTCTGGTCAGTGTCTACGGTGCAACGTTGAAATGTTACCTGCTTCAGCTCACTTCATACACTGGTGAACCTATAATGGGACACGTGAAATGACTCGGAACAATTTGAATGTGGAGAACGGGTATTGAACTTCCACTGGAATACATTAAGAAAATATACGTTTCCTTATGCATGGAGTGGCTACAGTATATATATGTATAAAAATGTTTTTAAAAAAAATAAAAATAAATATGTAAAATTAGAGGTAAAGTGAATTACACCTTGAAGAAAAAATACACCCGGTTGAATAAAAATGCAGCCTTCCTCGCTAAATATTTCTTTGAGAAAACAACGTGGACACATTTTTACTATTTATCTTTTGATTTGGATATTGGTTTTCCGGTTTACTTTGGTGTCTCCACAATCTATGGAGATCAGAAAGACCATCAAAGAAGAACTGTTACCGGGATTTGTTATTGCCAGTTTGGCCACAGAGCCAGAGTTCGTTAAAATCGTCAGCAACGCAACAGATGCGACCAACAAGGACTCCAGTTTCGGCGGGAATCTTCAGTTTAGCATCCTAACTTCAGGAAACCCCAACAGCCAGTTCTTCAATGTCGACCCAACTACTGGGGTTGTTTCTTTGAAGAAAATCATCGACCGTGAACAAGTCTGCAGTTTCAAGGATGAGTGTTATCTCAGTTTTGAAGTTGCGGCTCGATCTATCTACGGCATCTTTTTCCTTCTGGTGGATTTCGTCATCGTTATCACAGACATCAACGACAACCCTCCAGAATTCACACAACCTCAGTTTGAGCTCTTCATTCCGGAGAATGCCGATTCTAGCCGATCTTTCCAACTGCCTACCGCTTTCGATCGAGATACAGGATTTAGGAATGGAGTTAGTGAATACCGGATTTTGAATGGGCCTCCTCTGTTCGGCCTGAAGGTTCGGGAGGCTGGATTTAACAGCTCTGAAGTTTTCCTAACCCTGGAGAAGTCTTTCACTATAGAAGCCGCAGCAGCGTACAAGGTTAGTATATTGTTTACTCGTCTGTCTTTAGCGGGCCAATGTAATCCTGCGGTTAGGCTGTCATCTCCTGGCTCGAATATCTTAGTTTCGAATACGCACCGGTAGTAAATTTGTTTAGGGGGGAAAGAGGGGGGGGTGGGGGGGGGGGGGATTAGTTACGGTATAACTGACCTTGGCTAAAACAACACCCGCTCCCGAAAGCTGAGGTATTTTGGACGTGCCAAGCGCCATGGTGGTTTGGAGACAACGGTGATGGAGGGCGCAGTTTTGGGAAACGAGACAGAAGCCGACCTCTGCGAAGGTGGATACAAGACGTTAAAGATGCATTGGCCATAAAAGCACATAGTGCTGGTGTTCAGACTAAAGAAAGAGACTACCTGACATGAAGAGAGAGCAACATTCTGTAAAGCACATGCTGATTGATTAAATGATTGATTGATTGATTGATTGATTGATTGATTGATTGATTGATTGATTGATTGATTGATTGACCTTGGCTGATCTCGACCCAGCCTCATTTGGGTAACAGGAAATGTCATGGAAAGTAAGGCGGTCGGCATGCAATTGACTAAGAAGAATAAGAAGAAGATATGATATTGACTAAGAAGAAGAAGAAGAAGAAGAAGAAGAAGAAGAAAAAGGAAAAGAACTAAATGTAATTAGTATGCCTAGCGATCTATAAAGTCCAGTTTAGCATAAAAGCTCTGATACACTACTAGTGTAAAAAGTGTACTTTACTTCACTACTATTTTCTACTGCTGTTATTTATTAATTTCTTTTAATCGAATCTTTATTTTCTTTTATCCATATTCTGATTTGCGTCCCTGGGCGTTGGAGGTATCCGAGCTAGGGCACGCTCGGTTGCCTTAGTTTGCTGTGATGTTGTAGAGTCTCAGAGTATCAGTAACTCGTTTAATCCCATCCTCTTTTTGCTCGTTCCCTACCTCCTGATGTTTCTACTTTCATGTTGTACGCTGTCGTTTTTGTCATAGCTTGATTAATGTAGTGAGTGCAGGGACTGGCCAGCTGGTGCTGCAGAATCAGGTTGGGAAACGAGCAGGCAGATAGACTGGCTAGTTCTGCACCGCTTGGTAGTGAACTGATGTATGACAAGCTGGATGCTGTGGGGCCTCTTTGGGAGCAATTGAACAGTGCAGAAGCATAGATAGATCATTACGGTCTGGGGGAGAATTGCGCTGCGAGGAGTTACAAGGGTATCTGTCTGGCGCTCAACACTCAGGGAAAGGGCGAAACGGATAGCCTATATGATCAGATAGTTACTGGTGCCGTCGGAATTGGAACTCTTCCCTTGCTATCGAAGATTGGGACAGAGTGCTCATGTGACGGGGGGGGGGGGGGGGGGGGGGTCCTGAATGCTGTGATGTCGATTCTTAATTCAACATTCAACATTCTCATTAATTCGTCCGTCCTTTTCAGTCTCTGTTCTTCAGTTTTTTTTAACTATGTGTGTTACATTAATTTCTTCGTTTATCATACTATCTCTTCTAGTTTTCTCCAGTGCCTTAATCAAACATCTCATTGGATGCAACGGAACTGACTATTCCTTCTTGTTATCAGACACGTTTTTGGTTCCAGGTTTTGGTGGGTGCAGTCGATGGAGGCCTGCCACAACTGACAGGAACACTAACAGTCGAGATCCATGTCTCGGACATCAACGACAACTTTCCTGTGTTTGAGCATTCGATGTACTTCAGGAAAATACCAGAGGATACAAGTAACGATCAGATTATCGAACAGGTAGGTAATAATGATCCAATAGGCGACAGTACGGTGATTTTTTTTTTCTTTTTCTTTAATGATTTGTTAATTATTCCGTTTAATTTGTTTAATTTAGTTCTTTTCCTTCTTCTTCTTCTTCTTCTTCTTCTTCTTCTTCTTCTTCTTCTTCTTCTTCTTCTTCTTCTTCTTCTTCTTCTTCTTCTTCTTCTTCTTCTTCTTCTTCTTCTTTTTCTTCTTCTTCTTCTTCGCCTCCTCCTCCTTTTTCTTCTTCTTCTCTTCTTCTTCTGTTGCTGCTGCTGATGATGAAGATAGTGATTTATTCAAAGAGTTAAGACAGTCAGCGTCACATTGATTATATTTATGACACTGAAATGGGAAACAGATAGGTGAGATGGGTGTCACGTTGCAGTGCTGTTTTTTTTTTCTCGAAAAGTGTCTTTCGCGTGACCTAGGCTCAGGCTGTTGGTAAGGGGATTTGGGTTAGGGCCAGTTCTAGATGTTTTGGGGTTTGTTGAAAGCTGTGTCGTCGTGTAGTATAAAACACGCGATATCGACGCTGATGTACTTGGAGGCAAGACAGCGTGACACCCCTCCGACGTCGAAATGTCTGAGAAAGTATGAATGAAAGGTCAGCCGGGAAAGTGAACTGAACCAGGAAAAAAAAAAAGAATTATCACACAATGGAGGCTTCCACTGCGCTACGTGTTATGACGTACATTGAAACAACATGATTACACACACACACACACACACACACACACACACACACACACACACACACACACACACACACACACACACACCACACACACACACACACACACACACACACACACACACACACACACACACACACACACACACACACACACCACACACACACACACACACACACACACACACACACACACACACACACACACACACACACACACACACACACACACACACACACACACACACACACACACACACACACACAAACACACAACACACACACACCACACACACCACACACACACACACACACACACACACACACCACACACACACACACACACACACACACACACAACACACACACACACACACAGCACACACACACGCACAAACCACACACACACACACACACACACACACACACACACACACACACACACACACACACACACACACACACACACACACACACACACACACACACACACACACACACACACACACACACACACACACACACACACACACACACACACACACACACACACACACACACTGACCCAGTTTCTGGACAAATTATTCTTCTTATTTTATATATACATTTAATTCTTCACATACGAATCAATGAAAAGCTTCTGCAAAATAATTTTCGTGAGTGGATTTAGAGAAAATTGGTTAGATGTATTTTTATTTTATTGAAAACCAATTAAATAAACGCACAAACTAAAAACAACACACGGGGTTATTTTAAAAAATCCGGTTACAACTGGGGCAGATAATTAAATTTAGTCCAATATTGAAACCCTGATGTCACCGTTCAAAGGCAGTTAAATTGCCCGCCGTAGTTGGGGTTGGAAACGGGAGCCACATTAGATGGCTCGTGGGATAGCGTTAATTATTTTCAACACTATGTACAACCCACATCCACACAGAACGCCCGGCTCTCTAGCGTAGTTGGCTAAACCGAATTGCGCGGAGACCAGGTGACGAACTCCCTGTGGTCCGGGTTCAATCCCGGGGGGTAGGCAGGAAAGCCACATCTCTCCCAGATTTACAATGGAATCAAGGCCGAAAGGTTGCGATATCCATAATACAGAGCCTAAGGGTTAACAACTCATGGCTTCTGGATACTCAAACAAACAACCAATCCACACAGAACTACAGGTTCTTACATCCTGACTGTTTTGTGGTCCACAACATAACTGTGGTATATGGCTATTCTTTAGAGCGGTGTGATTCTCATCCTTGAGATGGTAATCCTACATAATACAAATCTGGGGGAGGGGGAGGAGAGAGAGAGAGAGAGAGAGAGAGAGAGAGAGAGAGAGAGAGAGAGAGAGAGAGAGAGAGAGAGAGAGAGAGAGATTCCAGACGTAATCATGTTTTTGGTAAGTTTAGTTCTTGACAAGTTATCATAACGGGCGACTCTAATAATGGAGAAAGCGGTGGTTATCATCATATGGTAAAAGTAAAACTAAGTAAAGAACTCCTTTTTTTTTTTTACTGCTATTATACTACACGTTCCGCCTCTAACCTCAGTTAGTCCTGGCCCCCAACAACATAGCCTGAATGACGCCACAACTGTCCGACAACTAATTTATTCACCTCATCACCAGAAGGCCCTAACGCCAGGTGTCCAGTGGCCTCAGGGTACAGCCCATATTGACCTCACTGAGCTTGCCGTGACAGTTATAATTTGTTCAGACACCTTGTCCTCACGAACTGTTGTCAATTTGTTGCTATAGCGATGCAGGTGGCAGCGCCCAATGGGAGCGCTTGGTGTTAGGATTTCAGGACAACCGCAACTTGATGTTGGCGCTGGAAAACACCCGCCTTTTTTTTACAAGGCTTCAAATGGAAACCTTAAATGGGTGATAGAAATTGCAATAACCATGCTATTGTCTTCTAATCTGTCAGTGTTGTTAAGGATGTCAAAAATGTCACGAACGTGATATCACTGTGCATATGGATACGGCAACATCATAATGGCAGTTAATTATGACATGCCCACTTATTTCTAATTTATTTTTTATTTATTTTTTTAAAGAATAAACGATGATATATTTCCCTTATAAATACACATTTTTTTTTAAATATCCACAAACCATGAGTTGTTAACACTTTGGTTCGGTACTATGGATATCGCAACCCTTCGGCCTTGATTTCATGATAGGTACCGTAAATCTGGGAGAAATGTGGCTTTTCTGCCTACCCCCGGGAGTGAACCCGGACCACAAGGAGTTCGTCACCGGGTCACCGCGAAGTCAGGATTAGCCAACTACGCTAGAGAGCCGGGCATCCATACATATATAGGGCGTATATATTTCAAAGTTTTCTGATATTAGCTGGCGTACCAGTACAAAGCAGTCCGTTTACATGTAGCCAGTAGCTGACTCGACTCCCAGTATTAGTTAAGTGTGAACGACTTATTGGAACCCCAGCATTCGCCAGAAAACCTGCTCAACCATATCAAATAGCTATGTTGTGGCATGTCGTGATTGCTGCTGGTGCATTTTATGAATGTTCCTGAGTGTGCTGAGAAAGGTGGAGACAGGTATGCTCTGTGCAGAGTTACAAGCATCGCTTCACAGGTCCCGCAGAGCTAAGAGCCATTTGGATATTTTATCCAGGGTGCGTTCATCATCTCGTCACCATAAACCATTTCATAAAACCAAGCGTCGTGGGGAGGAATAATTTGAGATCGGGTGCACGCTGGCTGCCACTGGCTATTGTCATGCCGTGAAGGCGTAGAGTGTCTTTAATGTTGTCGATCCATTTTTCCGCGGCCGTCCTTTTCCTCCTTTAGCTGATCTTCTGGAATGTAGTGCTTGTGATGGTATTTGATCTTGCTGCATTCCAACGAGATGGCCAAATAACTTGATCTGCTGTTTCTCGATAAATCTGGTACAAGGTGTCGTTTCAACAATATGCCTAATACTATCATTATTCACTCGATCTCGGATGGTTAGGTTGGCTGCTTTTCTTAGGTAACTCATCTCGCAGGGGTGATTTTGCGTATATTGGCTTTAGATATGTCCATGTTTAGCACTGGTAGCTTAATGTTGGAATGAATATGCTGTTTTTAATCTGTCTCTTTGAACTTATAGTTGTGCTTGGATGTCTTAATAATGGTGACAATTGGTATGTAAGTACGCTTGCTTTCTGACATCTGGTTTCTCTGTCATTTCTACCATCTTCCGTGATCATACTTCCTAGATATTTAAACTTCCTAACCTGATTCAGATCAGAACCATTCAGATTTATGTATAGTGGGCCAGGGATTCTACTAATGTGCGATGTTTCGGTTTTGTTTGCATTGATCTTCACGTTGTATTTACTGCATGCTAAGTTTAACCGATTAATGTGTTCTTGCAGTCTATCTTCTTCAGGGTAGAACAAGCACTGGTCGTCAGCAAATAGTAGTTCGTTTAGTGTGGGTTAATGTGGGCGTTTGGAAATGAAAAAGGCAGATTGGCTAGTTTTGCAGCACTTGGCGGTAAACTGATGTTTGACAAGTTAGGTTGGCTAGTTCAGCACCACTTGGCGGTAAACGGATGTTTGGTGTTTTATAGGCCTTTGGGAGCCATTAAACAGTGCAGAGGCTCGAATACCGTAGATCAGGACCATTCAGCCAACAACGGCCTGCGGGATAAATCCGGCCCACGAAGGCCTAGTAAAAGTGGCTCGCGGACCATTGTCAGTTGTATTGTATTAGTGTTAATGTTGCTGTTAATGCAGAGGTCAACGCTCTCATCGGTGAAAATTCAGACGAAGCAGATGCACTAATCTATACAGACGGATCAGTTATACGCCAAAGAAGAAGCGCATGGGCATTTACAGCACGCTCAGCGGGCAGAACAGTCAAAGAAGCCAACGGCGCCTTCTCCATGACAACCAGCAGCATGACGATGGAGGTGATGGCAGTGACGCAAGCGTTTGCCTGGCTTGAAACACAAAAATACACCCGCATATGTATACTCAGTGATTCAATGAGTATGATCCGGAGGGTTCAGGCAGGTTCAGTGCGAAGACAATGGCTTGAATCAATTCAGAAGTCCACTGTGCGAGGAGTCACCTTATTTTTGTTCCGGGACACGCAGGCGTCGATGGAAATGAAAGAGCTGACAGGTTGGCTGGATCCGCTATCACTACCGACGGTCGGCCTATGGATCATGCTGATATTATCAATGCCCTCAGAGAAATGGGAAGGATAGAGGACTTTGGTGGCAGTGAATCCACATCACTCGCCAGAATGGCAGACTTGGGAATTAAGATCGGCACAGCAAAAAACGAGACGCACACCGGACACGTCAGAAGACTTGTTAATCAACATAGAACTGGTACTATTAGCCATCGGACGTTGGGATTCATACTGAGGGGAGGATCTGAGCACCTATGGACATGTCCGGAGTGCAATGATGATAACCCAACTAACTAACTAACTAACTAACTAAATTGTATTAGTGATCTTTCTACCCTGGGGCTCGGACGTGTAGCCCATGACGATCCCCATGTTCCAAATGTGAGTCTTTGGAAAAACCTAGTTGAATAGCGAAAAGGTAAAAGGTAGAGTCGGGAGATGTGAACCAGCGTCATTGCACGCGGTTTTAAGCCATAAATGCTCTGCCACCAGTACGGATAGCTGATAAGAAACTGTCTGCCTGTGTCGCAGTCCGCACACAACTACGTAGCTACAACGACACTCCTCCATTTACCCTAGAGTGTTAACTCTGGTACCTATTTCCTAGAGGTTGGGTAAACCCCGGGAACCGTCCGGTTTCGAACACCAATTTTGAAAGCGAGTCTCCTATCGACTGCTCTAACGCGGCCCCAGGTTGAAAAGCCCTGGCCGTTAAATCATCACGGTCTGAAGAGAATGGTCAGCGAGGAGTGACCACAGGATCTGGCCGAGGCTCAACACTCAGAGGAGGAGGAGCGAGACGGACATACAGAATTTTACTGGTACTGTCAGAACTGGAACAGCGCTTGCTGCTGAAGGCGAAGGCACAGCGCTTATGAGAAGGTCTTGCGTGCCATGATATGGGCTTTTAACTCATAAAGTATGGGTGCATCTAGTAGCTAAAAAGTATTCTGCTGTCCAGCATTGACTGGCTACTTTGACCAGTTTTATCTGAATGGTCATTAAAAATAAGAAAATAACATTTTTCAAATACGTTTCAAAGCGTCCAAATTGATCCGGCCCTTTTATGTTAGCTTACCCCACCATCTCAGTGATCCGAGAGTTCCTGGGAAAAGTCCAATTTTATAGTAGTATTACGATGTGAAATGAGCACAGACTAACTATAACCTAACCCTAATTCTCCTACCTCCCCCCCCCCCCCCCCCCCCCCCCCCTGGGCCATAGTATTGGACTTTTCACTGGAACTGTCAGATTCCCCGAGATAGGGCGAACTAAAATACAATTACCATTGATCCTTAAATAATATAAATTAAAAGTAGAAGGGCTGCTAATTTTGTGGTTATATGAATTGCCATGTGTAAATTATATTTGTCTTTCCCCACAGGTAAAAGCTACAGATGCAGACGTGGGACCTAACGGGGAACTGAGATACTCCTTCTCCGCTCTCCAGCCACCAGATGACCTGAGTTACTTCAGAATTGATGCCCTGACAGGGGAGATCTTCTTGACCAAGTCCATCGAGTCTCGGACCGGTGATGACATTGACCTGGTCGTGGAGGCCAGGGATCGAGGCCATCCTCCAAAGGTGTCAAGAACCAGAGTTAGAGTAAGTTGTCAAAGCGATCACCTGTTCGGAATTATATAATCTGCCCCAAATTGTACTGAAGATGCTCAGAAAATACAGGCTGACTTTATTAGACAGTAAAACACATCACAAATACTAAATCTTATGTTTGGGTCGGATATGAATGTGTTCCCAGAAATAAGCGTGCAGATAATTTGGCTTACACTGTGTTTGCTATTAGTGAGCCTGTAGTGGACAGAGTGTCGTCAGTAAGATATATGTATCCCTGTCTAATCTGGTGGATGTTTGGGCGCAACCTAGGACTGCCAAACATAAGCAGTCATTAGGGTTTTCTTGACCCTCTTTTGCCATTTCGCAAGGTCACTCCTTGCTGCACCATTAAATACACGGTACAATTTAATATCAAATCAGGCTGGGTGCCATCTTCTTGCTCAGGTTTTCTTGCACACACAACACGTGCTACTACTAATCTGTTGTAGCTGCTGCTTCTATAGATGATAAACTGCATACCTGATGTCGGACTTCTCATTGTCATCATCAGTCAGCAGAACCTCACAGAACATCACTTTCATCACGCTCTTTCTCTAGCATATTCTCCAACCATATGAATAGTGATGCAGCAGATTCCAGGCCACTCCGGCACACCAGGTAATGACGGAGCTGACAGACTGGCAAAGAAAGGAGCAACACAAGAACAAACACCTACAGTGACAACCCTACAGACAGCAAAAACACTTATAAAAGCTATTTACAAAGAGACTTGGCTGAACAGATGGGCCATGGGAGACACTGGAAGTGAGGTTTATAGACACTTGGCTAGCCCTGATCCTAACAGTGGCTAGCCCTGATCCTAACAGTGGCTAGCCCTGATCCTAACGACAGCATTCACCATTTAACAAGAAGGGACCAGGCCACCATCTTCAGACTCAGAACACAACATACTCCACTCAATGGACACCTAAACAGAATACAGCCACGCCCACAACACACCCAGAGTGCCAGAAACACCTTGTATGGAGGAAAAGAACAGCTTGTGAAAACATGTAAATATCACTACATGCATTGGGCCAAAGGGCGAAAGCTCATGCGCGGATGGATCAATGATAACAACAACAGCCAACCCTATCTGCTTTAATAGTCAACATCTGTGCCCATGTGGGACACAATTTTTCTTTATTTTGAAGCCCCACCCTGGCTGTTGCCAGAGGTCTTGATGTAACCCAACATGGGTTGAACAGGGTTTCTGGCTCTTGTCCCCGGGTGATCCTCATCAGAATGGTGGCACTTTGTGTCACTAGGTGTTTATCGCTCGGTATGATGTCCTGGTGGAGTAAAAAGTCAGTAAGTGAATGCTTACATAGCCAATTTTTCTTTAGTATCTTGTATCCACGTTCGCAAAGTTCTACCTCTGCCTCATTCTCTGAAAACTGTACCTTCCATTACTGTTCTCTCTTGGTCACCTTTTCTTCCATGTTCATCCCCAAAAATGGTGGTTGGCACTTGTTGTTTACAGCCTGGCTGTGATATCTGCATGTTTTTGACCCAACACATCTGATTTCAGTAAACTTTTGTAGGAAATGTTTGTTAAAGGGCAGCAAATCTCTTCCCCCTCCCCCTTTTTTCAGCAAAGGGGTTCTGAACTGAGGGGCGGGGGTGTAGGGGGACTACCAATTTGAAAGTTGTAGGGAGATCTTCTAGTAATGTAAAAGAGATAAGCTGATTTAGTATGAAATTTTTACTGTTATATTAAAAATTAAAAGTTTAAGTGGTCAAGCGGTTTGCCTCGCGCTCTGAAGGTCGTGGGCTGATTCCGTGGTGGTAGTGTAGTGGTCAGTTCACATGTGTAATTTTTACGAAGCTTCCTGGGGATCATCGCAGGAAGGAACAGAGTTCATGAGTTGTGTAATGCTGTCAGCAGGCAACTAGCGTTTCTGCAGAGAGTGCGGTGAGGTCGATCCTCTGACCTTTAACCTTTTATGAAAATACGCCTACGGTCTCGCATATGAGAGTTAAGTGGAGTCTGACATCTCAGCCCTCAGGACATTCCCTTATGCACTTAATCCACATCTTCAGCAGCCAGCAAAGAATTCCAGTTCCCATGGTATAATAGCAGTTTGCTATCCTGTGAGTGTCGAATGTCAGTCAGATGATGTGGTTACTCATCGCTGCGATGTTATCTCCATAATAATCTGTTTGCGCTTCCACATTGTTCACTTCCTCCCAAAGTGCCTTGATCATAACTAGCTTGAAATACTTCGGGTCACCACTCAGTCGTGCATCAAAAGCCAATCTGTCTTGCTTAGCAAATGAGAAAGTGGTACTGCAGATTATCAGTAATAACACATTGTCGAGTTCATCTTTATTGTTTAGTTTAGTTTAGTCCTTAGAAATCTATTATTAACCTTTTTTTTTTTTTTTAAAAACTTGTTTGCAATTTACTCTTTCTTTTCAGATTCTGGTTGAGGATACAATTAACAGTATGCCTGACATTATCATTGACACACTTGGGGGGTCAAAGGGCACAGCTGAGGTCTCCGAGTATGCTGAGGTTGGCAAGGTCGTGGCCTACTTTAGTGTTCGGGATCCTGATAGTGGAGAGAATGGAGAGACTAGCTGTAAACTGAATGCTAAAGAGTTTGGTCTAGTCAAGCTAGAGGATTCAGGCAAATACAAGGTGAATGAGAAACACACAAAAATGTACACACACAGTTATACCTGTATATCTCCTGATACACAGTCGACAAATCACCCTCATTATATATCATTCAGTTCATGTTAAGTTAAAAGTTAGTTATGTATCCTTTACGGGACATTGCAGAACTAACGCCCAGTAGTTTGCCATTGCTTTTTGGACGGTCGGCTTCTCTTTACAGTTGTTAAAACCAATGCAAGGCACAAACCCACAACTGGGATCGAACCCGGCATCCCAGCATTACGAAGCGCATTCGCAACACGTAAGCCACAGATGCCGACGTCCATGAGTGCTCAGATTAACTCCTTAGTATATTCTTCAGGGTGTTCAGATTTAGTATATTCTTCAGGGTGTTTAGATTTAGTATATTCTTCAGGGTGTTTAGATTTAGTATATTCTTCAGGGTGTTTAGATTTAGTATATTCTTCAGGGTGTTCTGATTTAGTATATTCTTCAGGGTGTTCGGATTTAGTATATTCTTTAGGGTGTTCAGATGATCAACATCAGTTCTGAGTTGGTTCATTACTTTTCTTTATCTTGTATGTGTGAAAGTGGATCAGTAAATGAGTGGGTGGGTGAGTCAGGGAATGAGTGAGTGAATATGCAAGTAAGTGGATGATTGTGAAAGTGAACAAGTTGAGTCATGTGTTGTAAAATAAATGTATGAGCAGATGAGTGAGTAAGTTAGATTAAAATATAAGATAGAATTTATTTATTTCACTATAACTAAATACACTTTAGGTGTCTTGTATATAAATACAATTTTTTCTTTAATTCACAAACTCTTTCCACCTGGCCCTGCCCTTTCACTATAGGTGGTGCTACAAGCAAGGCTGGACCGAGAGCAAGCTGACCGCTACATTGTCACAGTGTCCTGTTCTGACAATGGATTTCCCTCCTTGCTGACCAGGGCAGATTTAACTGTCATTGTTCAGGATGAGAATGACCAGAAGCCAGTCTTCTCTCAAAGAACTTACGAAGCAACTATCTTTGAAAACAACACAGCTGGTTTGTATTTTTGTCATTGATTTATGTGAGACTAGCATACATCCTTAAGAAAGAGAATACAGGCTTTTGAGCTGAAATGATATAGAAAGATTCTTAAAATATCTTGGACAGAGAAGAGGAGAAATACTGACATCTTTAAAGATCTGGACATCAAACAAGACTGGCTAATAAACAGCATCTTGTCTTGGAAGCTGAAATATTTTGGTCATATGAAGCGCCATGACGAATCAGAAAAAATTATACCACAAGGCCTGGTACAGGAAGGAGGGGCAGGGGCCGACCGACACGAAGATGTAAACAGGATATAAGTGACTCCTTGAGTATGAAAGTGCATGAGGCAGGAGAGCTGGCGAGAGACCGAGTTTCTTTCAGGCAGACCGTGATGAGAGCGACGTTCTGCAAAGGACCTGCTACATGATGATGATGAGCATAAATAAAGCCTTAAGGAAGATGACATGGACAAAGAAGAAAGAAATACTGACATTCTAAAAGATTTGAACATCAAGGAAAATTGGCTAGTTAACAGCATCTTGTCTCAGAAACTGAAATATTTTGGCCATATCAAGCTCCAGAGTGAATTGGAAACAAAAGTAAAAGCAGATGACAGTACCAAGAGAGAGTCAGGGGTCGACCAATATGAAGGTGGGCACAGGATGTAAGTGAGGCCTTGGGTAGGAAATTGCAGGAAGTAGGTGAGCTGGCAAGAAACCTTGCTATAATGTGAGCAGTGTTCTGCAAAGGCTTGCTACATGATGAGCCTAAATTATGAGCTGTAATAGTGCAGTGGTTAACATACATGCCTGAAAGCCCAGTGTTCATAGGTTTAAATCTCCATTGAAAAAGTTTTTTTTTTAAAACAATCTTGGCTTCCAGGTGAACCCAGGCTAAAACTAAACATCAGGAAATGTTCTTGGAAGTAAAGGCGACCATCTTGATGTTTACAACTCCCAAGAATAGTGTCACTGCCTTCGTAGCAAGCATGTCTTTACAGTAGACTAACTAGGGCTTTCCTTCAAAGTCAGATTCTACTAGCGAAGCAAGGAACCAACAGTCTGCATACAAATAAGCCAGATCTGTAAAATCTATGTGTACAAAAAACTCAAGTACTGGAATAAGGCTAAATTCCAAACATGGACAAGCAACCAAAACTTGCCACCTAAGTTTACAGCCAGTGAATGTGAAGAAGACGGGTTCAAATCAGCAGAAACTGAACAAAATTCTCCCCAAAATGGAGCCATATCTTCTACACGATTCTCCCATAAAGCCAACTTCTGTTTAAATGCATCCATTTTTAAATGTACAAATATTAGTACAAGTTCCCTGAAGAAAAATGTTCAGTTCATTAAGGAAATGAAATATGTCTGTCGAATTATGCCAGTTTAGCTTTCCAATCAACAAAAGCCGAACTAAATCAGGATTTTCCTCTCAAGTACAGAATTGTCTAATAAAATATTGATCTGACATCATATACCCAATAAGTTTCATGAAATAATGGGCTTTATACGTCACTTACATCATCATCATCATCAGTTTCCACTTCTGCCGCTAAGCGTTGGGGGAGGGGGGGGGGGGAAGGAACAGTTTGAAATCCATTGTTTGATGGGCAGCAGTGGCTACTGTCATTCTATGTCGATGTAGGAGCTCTTTAATGTCATCAATCTATCTTCTCCTAGGGCAGCCTCTTGCTTTCACTTCAGATCCTTTTATGTCTAGCGCCTGTGTTGGTAGTTCTGGTTGCATTCCTACTCAATGACCAAACCATTCTGATCTTCTGTTTCTCAGTGAATTTGCTGCATGATGTTGTTCTTACAGTCTGTCTGATAATATCATTTCTAACTTTGTCTCGGATGGTTAAGTTGGCGGCTTTTCTTAGGCATCTCATTTCACAAGTGTTAATAGTCTTTGAAAATGTCCAAGTCTGGCACTGGTAGCACAGTGTTGGTATGAATATGCTGTTTATAATCTGTTTCTTGACGCTCATACTTATGTTTGGATGTCCCAATAACGGAGTCAGTTTACTGACATTACCGCTGTTAAATGTTTCCTATGCCACAATAGTTAATTTTCTAGTCTGCCAAGACGGAGACACCATTTTTTTTAAAAACAAGTAGAGTTTTAGGATTTTAGGTCAATTCTTCCTCATTAAAAGTGCCCCCTCCCGGGGCAAGCATGTCATAAAAGTCACTAATTATTGGTGCTTCTTTCAAGTGTGTCTGTTAGAGAGGTAAGGAACTTACAGTCTGCATCCAGATAAGCTAGATTTATAAAAATAGATGTGCATGCAAAATTCATGTTTGGGATCAAGACCAAAGTTCAGAAGTGGATGAACAACCAGAATTTTCCTCTCAAGTTCATAGATAGTGTATGCTAATAAGAAGAAAAAGAAAAAGGAAAAAAAAAAACAGTCATAAATATCTGTGGTATGCAAAGTTAGTAAACAAAGAATAGCATTAAATATTAAAAATCTATGTTTACTTAAATGTTTTTGTTTCAATGTATTCACTAAGCCTATTTATTTCATTGTCTTTCCAGGAGTTTTTATAACCCAAGTGTCAGCCAAAGATGCAGACATTGGCAAGAATGCAGAAATTTGGTATGAGATCATTGGCGCCAACAAACAATACTTTGACATCAATGAAGCAGGCAAAGTGTTCGCTAAAACACCACTGGACAGGGAGTATTCAGAGAAAATTGTCGCAACAGTTGTGGCTACCGATCGAGGAACTCCTCCCCTGTCATCATCTGCTACAGTGATTCTAACGCTGAAGGACATAAATGACATGCGGCCAGAATTTTCTCAAATGATCTACACATTTGAGGTAGAAGAACAGCAGTCAGTAGGAAGATTTGTTGGGATTGTATCAGCCTCTGATAAAGATATCGGAGTTAATCAAAATATCACCTACCATTTTCCCATCCCAGGTTCTGAGAATAGCAATTTTCTTATAGGAATCAATGATGGAGTTATCAAAACCAATGTGGTTCTCGACAGAGAGAGACAGGACTTTTATGAATTCCCTGTTATTGCTGTTGATAAAGGGGTGCCATCGCTCACAGGCACTGCAACTATCATCATCAAGGTACTTGATATTAATGATAACGATCCATACTTCCTGTATCCAGTTCCACAAAACAATACACTGTTTATTCCTCATACTTTTGACGATCAGAGAACAATTGTATCAATTCTCGCTTACGACAAAGATGCAGGCCGTAATTCAGAAATTATTTATTCTGTAAGCACTGTGAATTCTACAGCTATATTTGATGTCAATCCAACTTCTGGAGCCCTTTCGGTTACAAGACGATTAACAGCGAAGGAAGTAGGGATGTATACATTGATGCTTATGGCTTCTGATCAAGGGTCTGACCAGGAAAGGTCTACGCAGACTCCACTGTATATTGAAGTGTTCTTCGACAATGCAACACTGTTTTCAGCTGTTGGAGCAGCCGGGCCATCGAAAGAAGTAATTACGGCTGCAGTTGTCATAGGAGTGACCATTTTGGTGTCCATTATTGTTTGCATGACCGTGATCTGCATTAGGAGACACAAAGCAAAAACAAAGTACAATGGGGGTGTGCCAAATTCAGGTAATATTTCTTGTGTTTCCAATACTTCTTAATGTTCTTTGCCATCGTTGAAAGTATGTATTGTAGTATGGAGAGGCGCAATGAAATATGGCCATGAAAATATATTTTGATCAGTTGACGCTTTTAATCTTCAAATTTTTTATTAATTATTTTTTGACATTACTTTACTGATAATTTATGCTGCTGCTACCTCTTCTTCTGTTCTTCTTTTTCTCCTCTTCAGCCTTCCCTTTTTCTTTCTCCTTTTTTCTCTAAATAGAGCAATAGCCTAACAGCTGACTCATGTCAAGCCCTTAACAGATTTGTTTACTAGGATTGGCTATATTTTGCAGTCAAAATTTGCTAGGAAATGAGATAGCCATGCTCATATCCACCTAAACTGCTTAACTATGGCCTGAAATACAGTTCTTCATGAGGGGAAAGTGTCAGATACATTTGCAATACTAAAAGGAGTTGGGCATAAATGTTTTTTTGCCATCATATCATTTCATTTAACATAAGAACAAGACTACTGAAATGTTATGTTGAACCAGAGCTACTGTTTGGCTGTCAATCTTGGAACATGAGTAAACAAATTAGGAAGAATGTGAAGGCCGTGGCGATGTGGTTGTTTTAGATGCCGTGGTGGACAGAGCGACTTGATAGGAGGAAGGTGAATACATAAAACAATAACCCAATTTTTTTTGGGTGAATTCTCTATCAGTTTATATCTTTTAAGCCAGGGTTTCCCAAACTTGTCTCAGTCGCGGCGCCTTTTTTCAATTACAATTTTTCCACAGCGCCCTAATCTAGGTAAAAGTATGACTATTTATATGTAAGAGATGAAAAAATAAAACTCGTGTGTCTTCAAATATTTAGAGGTGTCCCTGGAAGAGGTTGTGGTTCCCAGGGCACTGCAGTGCACAGTCTGGGAATCACTGTTCTAAGGCATGCTTTGTGAGTCTGTTGCACATACATGGTGTGCTGCTCTTCCTGCCAGGAATCAGTAAGCTTCTGTTACCACCTCCACCTCCATTCTCATGCTGTTTGTTGTACAGCATTTGCCAAACTGTATTTGAACACTCTCTCTTTATCTTTGTAATGAATGCAATTATTAAGAGAGATCCTTCAGTTACATCTTGTGTACTCTTGCAGCCTCCACGTCATCCACAACAAAGCTGCAAGGCGGATACTACGTTGCTCCAGGTGTCCGAGGATCTTCCTCATCATTTAATGGCAAACATGGCGAAGGAACTGACAACGGCAGTGCTGCTCAAGATCAAGATGGGATTCGAACTTCAAACCCTTATGTGGTTTTCTTGCAGCCTCGTACAGGGGCTGAAGCAGCCTCAGAGGTAAGTTAGTTTTGAATAAATTATTGCAAAAATTATAAGTGCTAGGTGTGGTCATTGGTCCCAACCAAGATTGCTGTTCATCTTCCTCTTGCTAGCTGCAGCACTGTTTCAAAGACAGGTGATTCTCAAATATGGTTGTTGGTCCTCAGAACTGATAACCATCTGCCCAGGATTTCCTCAAAGGTTTTCTGCTATCTCCAATTCTGTTCAGTGTGTATACAACGCAGTAACTGAGCAGCAGTTGCACGGGAGTGCCAGGTGTTTTGCTGATGACATCCTGGTGTATCAACTTGGAAGAGACTGCCAGGATATGGCCAATGCAGTGCAAAGCAAACTTGATCGCATCTTCTCCTGGTGTGTGGGTTCCAATGGACTTATCACCCTACAAAGACCTCAGTAACATGGTTCTCATTGAACACACATATAGTTAGGGCAGACTTACCAGTAGTGGAAAGCAGTGATGAAGCCTTGACAAAAACAAACCTGATGATGTATCTTGGAGTAAGGTTTGATTACAGTATTTCCTTCAAAGAGCGCATTGACCACATCATAACAGAAGCATGCAAAGGCCTGTTTGCAATAAGGGTCCTGGCCACTGCCAGTACTGACCAGAGACTGCTTCTGCTTTTATTCCAGGGAGTGGTTCTTGCTTCCACTGAATATGCTTTAGTAATTTCACTGTCAGCCATACTCAGATTGAAAGACTTAAAAAAGAAGGAAAAAAGGCGCAAAATGAAGCCATATGCATTATTTTGGGGTGCACAAGGGACACCTCTTTCCAACCATGAACTACAGAATCGAAATTTGAATGGCTTGCACATACCTCAAGATAAACTCTGATCTAAAACACACTTGGCACTACATGCTCTTCAGAAAGAAAAAAAAAGCATCATGGCTGGGTAGGGCAAAGGATGACATCAAGTAGGTGTGCAGTCTTACAGACATCCACCCTGGTGAGGAATCGATACCTGTGCCTAAATCACACCTTCTCCTGTGTCATCAAGCTTGATAGGTGTTGCCGGGAGTAGAATCCTATTGCTGTCGATACCGAGGTCCATGCACTTATCAGTAACAATTCAGATAAGCAGATGTGCTGCTCTGCACAGATCAGTTCATTGTACAAGAACACAAGAGTGAATGGGCTTTCACAGCTCGCTCTGCAGGCATAACTGTCAAGGAAGCCAACGGTGCTTTTCTTCGACTTAAAGCAGTATGATGGCAGGATATGGCACTGTTGTTGGCAGTGAAAGTTAATAAATTGACTGTTTCTGCCTAGTCGCAGATGGCCAGCCTGTAGATCGTGCTGACATTGTTAATGCCCTTACATAAATAGGATGATCCTAGGATTTTAGAAGCAGCGGGTCAAAATCACTGCTAAGAATACGATAAATGGGAGTAAAGATTGGCACAGCCAAGCATGAGAGGAACACCAGATGTACTGTCTGGTTAAACAGAAAAGGACTCTTACTATTAACTGTGGGATGCTGATGTATATTCTGAAGTATAAAATCTGAGCATTTTTGGACTTGTTAAGGGTGCTGTGAAGATAAATCAGCTCATAACTTAGGATTAACACCTCAAGGGTAAGACTTAAAAACAAATCCCACAACACAGTTAGGGCACCCTGCGGTTACCAAGTAAACTGCAGTTGGACATGGTGATGGGATGATATAAAATTGGGACTGCTTTTACTATCCCAGTTAGCATCTGTAGCTTAGAGGTTGAGAATACAGTTTATAATTCTGATATATACTGTTAATTCAGCTGCAGGTGATTTGGCATTAGACCACCTTCACGATAATTCTCTTGCTGGATATTTTATGTTTATGGCTTTCTTTTGTTTTGTTTAAAGCATTATCCATTAACTTTTGCAATTAAAACCCACCCATTCTCTTTAGACCCAGGTCGACCCAGCCTTGAGTGGGTACCGGGTGCAGTCCCAGGAAGTTAAGGCAGCCAGCGTGATACTGACCACATCACCCATCTTGTGCTGATTGGTCTATAAAAATATAGGTTTACCCCCAGATGCCCTATACGCCTAAAGGCGTGGAAAGGGTCCTTTACTTACTTTACTATTCTCTGTAGACGGCAACACTGTTGTCCTTCAGCTAAATTGTACTTTTCCTCTATGCTTCTGCAACAGATCATTGAGATCTCAAGGAATGGACTTAATGACACCATGAACACATTAGACCTGGATCAGACAGATGATGGTCAGTTCTCCACCTTCAGATCTCATGATGATATTTTCGCTCCAGGTTTTAGAAAAGGATCACTGAACAAACAGGTGAGGAATGTGTTTTGATTCTCTGTCATCTTTCTCCTTGTTTGTTTATGTTTGTAATCCCTTCTCATCATTATGGGAGTCACCGCGGCCAAGCGGCTAGATGCTCGCCGCGGATTGGAAGGTCGTGGGTGTTCGCTACCTGGCGGAGCCAGACTATTTTAAAAAATGACCTTGGCTCCCAGGTCGACCCAGCCTTGAGTGAGTACCAGGTGCAGTCCCAGGAAGTAAAGGCAGCCGGCGTGATGCTGACCACATCACCCATTTTGTGCCGATTGGTCTTTAACAATATCTTTACTTTTTTTTCTCATCATTATAATCATTTATCTAACTGACATTTAAAATTATTACTTCCTGATAAGACAGCTACTTTAAATATTATCTAGAAAATATTTAGATATTAATCTGTTTATCTGTAGTCGGTTTCTTTCCTGCTATCATAATCTTCATCTGCTTCTTTTTATTCACCAGCTGTCAACTCCGGCAGAAAGTTCTGGTTGTTCATCTGCTTCTAGGGTTTAGTCTTCTTCCAAAACCTGAGTGTTGCATGGACATTCGGTTTACAAATCTAACTTATTTGTATGCAGGCCAGGCTCGCTAGCACAGTTGGTTAAACCTGACTGCGCCGTGACCTGGTGATGAACTCCTTGTGATCTGGGTTCACGCCTGGGGGTAGGCAGAAAAGCCATATTTCTCCAATATTTACGGTATCTATCATGGAATCAAGGCCAAAGGGTTGCAGTATCCATAGTACCGAGCTCCTGACAAGAAAAAATTTACGACCTCACAGAGGATTTGAACCTCGGTCTCCCTCATGAGAACCCAGTGTTAACTGTTCAATCAGTCACTCTTCTGCATAAACAATTTCTTTTTAACTTGTGCATATTATCTTCCCCAGAAACTAGATAACTCATTAGCTAAGAGGTCAAATGACACTTTTGATGACACATCATGTGATGAGAGTACTAGTGACAGTGGACGGGGAGGAAGTGATGTCGATGTTCACGCAGCTGCGGCTGCTGCAGCTGCCAAACATGATAAAGGTAAGTCACAAACTTTCAAAGTAATGGACCCTTTTGCAGGTAGTAAGGCATTTAGGTATATGGTGCCTAAATTCCTGATTTTATATTTCATATGATCTTTTTTTTATTTCATATCACTTTTACTATATTTGCTACCAATTGTTCATTTATTTATATATATATATACATATATATGTGTGTGTGTGTGTGTGTGTGTGTATGTGTGCGCGTGAGTGTATGGATGACTGGGGGGGGGGGGGTGGAGTGGGTTCAGTTTAAGGGTTTTTGTAGTAAAGGAGTTGAGCCTTGTGCTTCATGCTGTTTGGATCCTGAATTCAGTATTGGACTGTGTTGTTCATTTTCTGAGTGCAATTTTTTTCACAGATCACTATAGATTGTAGCTTGAGCTACAGAATTCAGTCCTTTGTGCAGTATTCTGAGTATGTGACCAAAAACTCTACAGAGAGAGAGACCAAACCGTACAGTTGAAATGTGATGCAAGGAAATTAACCCTCTCAGCTTTCAACCCTTTCAGTCCCAAACAACATGTGTTGTGTGATTATCACTTTCATGAACCCCACCCAGCTGTTATGTTCTAGTCCTTTTCAAAGCTGATGACAGTATTCTAAGAAATCTGGCTTCTCTGTGACAAAGCGATTGTGGTGAAGGCTCTGTGAGATCAAATAGAACAGTGCAAACGACAGATAGAGCATCCAAAAATTAAAAGATTAATTTAAAGGGGTGTGTGTAGAGTTTCTGGAAGATATTCGGCATGGAGGGGGGACACAGTGGCAAATTTTTAATTAGATTGCAACTGGTACTTTTATCATGATAACACTTCATTGGCTACTGAAGAAGGGGATGCAGCACATATGTGAATGTTCCGAGTGCAGTGATATCAGTTTCCTGTTTCATTCATTCATTTATTCATTCAAGAAATCTGGCTTTGCTTCTATCTAGCATCTCTGAAAGTAATAGGCTCATAGTTTTCCGATAGTTTTTTTTTTTTTTTTTTTCAATATACACAGGAGCATCTCCAGTAAAACCTTATGGTACTCAAGGAGTTATATAACTTTTTATTAACTCTTTCAGTATGAAGCAACACACTATTTGTTTGCTGGTTACTGTTTACATGATATGCTTTCCCTATCCCTTAATTATCATATAATTGGTATGCCAACTCATAGTATCCCCATATTTACAGTAACTTATTTTGTCCTATAATGTTATTTCAACCCGCTCAGATCCCAGCACGTCTTGCTTTAACTCTTTAAGTCCAAGCAACACCCAGTATGTGAATCAATTTCCCCCCCCCCCCCCATCACTTCCCATAGTATAATGCCCTCTCTTACCTATACCATTTAGTCAGAACATACTAGAGAAATCTGGCTTCCCCCCTGGTAGTCTGGTAGTCTTAGTTTCAGCTTCATAGCAAACGGGTTGCCCCATCTTTGCTCCGCTCCTGTGCCAGCGAAAAACACTCAGAATGTCTATCACAGTCCCTTGTGGAAAGATTGACAGACTGCTGTCTCAGCATATCTAGCATACACTCGCATTAAAGCATATGGTAGCCATCCGAAGTGCTAACACAAACAGTCCAACATTAGAAATGCAGTTCATCATTGATGATAGCAGAACTTGTCGTCAACAGATCAGCAGTTGTCCGCGGGATCAATTTTAATACTGGTCCCGCCAGCATTGAACGACAGGCATCGCGACATTTTCTGAATCTACAATTCACACCACCACGTTGGTCACAGTCGAAAAAACATTCCAAATGCAATCCGCAGCTCACAGGGTCACGCCATGCGTTTAACTCAGAAGCTGGGCGACGAAACTATATCCAGTCTATAAATGGAGCTAAAATGCAAGGGCTACCGTCCAGCAGAAGCAAAAAGTTTGCCTCTGTTCCGAACGGCGCCGCTGTCTAGCGTCCATTTTAACCGGAAGTTTTTCTTGGCTTCCCCTATTGGTCACTAGGACGATTATATTGCCTCTTTGAAAGTAAACCATTCATTATTTGTAATCATGATTATTTCATCACTCTGGCATCTCACGTGAAACTTTCTGGAACTGAAAGTGTTAAGTAACAAATGTTTAGGGGTATAATGAGTTTAAATAATGCCTGTCTGGGACTAAAAGAATTAATCTGGCTTAGTAATTGCCACCTGGCTCCATAAGTATTCTGAAGTAAGAGTTGCTTTAAATTTGCATTGTTTCCTCTTTTCAGTTCGAGCACAAGCAGCTACCCCTATTTCAGTTAAAAGTGGAATCTCCCATAGGCTGTCACCTCTTCTTCAAAAGGAAAGAACGTTTGCCACATTCCGTGGAGACTCTCCCAGCTCTTTCAAGTTTGATTCTGACAGTGACACACTAACACGCCATCACCAGAAGTCTAGAGTCAGCCCAATGCCGTTGATATCTTCAGAAGCATATAAAGATCCAGTCAGATATGAACCAGGACCCTCAAGTGCCTTTTCTAACCAAGCAGAACAGCCCAATGGAGGTGATGCTAATTCTGAACTCATGTCTGCAGTTCGACCTCCCCTTCGGCCATTAAATCTTTCAGGGATTTTCAACTCTGCAAATGGTAACAACTATCAGGCGCGTACTTCAAACAGACTACCCAATAGAATTATTCAACAGCCTATGTTTACACCTCCACCCACACATCCCAGACATGATAGTGTATCAGATCACAGCGATGGTGGAGGTTCGAACCCAAATTCTCTAACCAGAAGGAATCACATTCCAAGACTTCCTTTATACCCAGGTATTGAGTTGACCCATCCGGTGTTTGGTGTTCCCAACAGAGACAGCATCAGTGCTTTCAGTAACAGTTCATTTACGTCATCAAATAGTAATATATTAGATCCAATTCAAGACCATGGAGATTTACAGTCTTACTACAATAGCCATCCTAGACCAAGTGAGTTAGATCACAATAGTTTAGACAGACGCATCAGCAGTGGTATCGGTGCGCCCCGTGACAATAGCAGCTTCCAGAATTCAGTAACTCATTCTTCAAGCATGAATAACTGTGATGATTTAGCTAATGACATTCACGATCCACGTCCCGTTAGCATGGATGTGGATTTCTTGCTTCCACCTTATCCAGAGGTAGATGAAGATGATGAAGACAGTACAAATGGCCAGTCAGGATTTCATGGATTTAATTCTCAAGGGGACGTGGAGAAGGCACTGATCTCTCGAACAAAGTCTGATTCTAGTGCATAATGAGTGTTAATATCTGAAAAAATCAACTTGACAGAATACATTACCATGCTTGCCTAATTATGAGGCAAAAGGAGGTGAAATTGTTTTGTTATCATCATCAGCATCCTCCTTATCCTCATCATCATCATCACCATAATCATCATCTTGTGTTCATTACAAACATAAATCTCTACCATTAGCTGGTCCATTGCTCATCTGTTTTCCACAGTAACCCTTCTAGCCATCCCATAATCCTGTTCCCTCAGATACCCACGTGCCCTGGCACACACACACACAAAATGAAACTAATTTGTATCAGCCATTATCTCTTCAGAGATAGGAACCACTGTTTTTGTTTTGTTTTTTCCAGCCCGTTATCTTACTGTCCCAGATGGGATCAATGGTTTCTAATACTGTCATCAGAATTCCTTAAACCAAATGTAGCTTAACAGTCATAAAACTTTTCTTTGTTGTTGTTTTTGTAATCCTATTCATTTTAAGAACAGGCTATAGCATTTTAACAAGTTACTTAATGTTCTAAAGCATGTTTTTACAAACTACTTAATTTTACCTTTCCAAGTCACACACAAATTACATGATGTGCTTATTGGCTCTTCTGCTTAAATTCCAACCATTGCATCATATGCTTTCTTACTTTTTAAATTTGGCTAGAGTACACTAATAAAATCTGGCTTCTGGAAATTAAAATAATAACACAAAGAAAGGGATCTGATTACTAAACTTTGTTATGCTGTAAACTAGTATTTAATGGCTTAATTCTTCACATCCTAACAGCAGCATTTGCCAGAATATATATTTTAACCATATACTAGTTTTATCGTTTTAACAATAACAGATTTTACTAGTAAAATGTCACTTCAAATGAATTTTATAAACTGACTGTTCCATATGCTACCAAATTAGTATTACAATTTTGAAAAGTGTTTGTTACACAGTTTTACATGCTTTTTTTTGTTTGTTTTGTTTTTGTAAATAACTATTTTAGCATTAATTGCCAGAAAATGAATTCATTTTATTTAATTGCACAATGTATGTGTGTCCTTTTCTCCTTTATGGTCTCCTTGTTATGGATTCTCTAATCCTTTCTGTCATAGATTTTTTTTTTTTATAATTCTGTGCCATCTTAGAGAAAACCAGATCTCACAGACAAGCCAAACAGGACATGTGTCAATTGCTGGTGAACCCAACAGAAGTCAACAGCTCCTTCTTGAGGAGTTAGTTAATAGTGTTGTGTAGCTACACAAAATGACCCTGGCTATTCTCCTTCTTCTTCCTCCACGTCATCCTCCTCCTCCTCTGCTTCTCCTCCTACTTCTTCTTCCAGAATAGAGCACAGACTCCTAACCCTGCCTGTTCCTCTTCTCCTCCTCCTTCTCCTCTTCCTTTTCCTCCTCGCCCTTCTTCTTATCCCTCCTCCTTCTGTCTTTTTATCCCCCAGTGGATCAAAGAACCTTAGATCAACTGATGTCAAACATTTGGATAGGTGACATTGTTTCTCTTCTTTGCATCCTTTATAAACCCCCTGTAACAAATGGACACTGGGTAATATTATTTAACATAATTTATTACACTGTTTCTTCAAAAATACACAACATACTTTAAGCAGACACTCTGGGCAAGGTCTTGACTTACAAAGTTGATCCCTGTTCATTCAGCATCTACGGCATGAGAAGGCCACCTCTTATGCTTAACACTGCATCCTGAGCTTCTTCTTGTGTTCATGAGCACAACTTACTGCACCACTAAACTGTAAATATCTTTTATTTATTACACACATTTTCTATGCTTTACTAAATTTAATTACATATGCCTGTGCATTTGATTGTTTTGTTTTATTTCGTGGTTTATAATGAATTATCAACTTCACAGTAATTGGGAACAGACCACTAGACCCTAGTCTATCTCATTAGAAGTTGAAGGCTATGGATATTGACTGACACTGATCTCAGATAATTAGTAAATACAGTAAGTTGGAACTGTCCTTGACAGGTTTTTTTAGACCAGTTTCCTTACCCACACAAGGTTGCAGGTTACATCAGGCTAGTGTATCTATTAAAGGTGCCCCAGTTGTAACATCTTTGGGGGTTCAACAGGGTATCTGAGATTTGTCTTGTTGGTCTGCCACCAAAATGTGACTCTTGAAGTCTTGTTACTGTTACCGTTTTAGAAAAATTTTTAAAAACCTGACTACGTTCAACCTGCTATTGGTAGCCAAAGCTGCCAACAGTTTCCAGTTACATTTGTAGTCTGGTTTATTTGAGCCACTTTTGTGGCTAAGATTTAGGTATGTGCACCAGTTTTCTGGCTTAATATTCCTTTCCTCAAAGTCAGACCACTCCGTCTACCTCTAGTTCTATTCTTTCTGATGTTTTCTTCATGTTTCATCCTCCATCTGGTTCCTTCTCTTGTTATTTTGCCCTTGTGTCCTTCACTGTGTATCTGAATATGTTCCTTTTTATTGTGGCCTGGCTTTTGAAATGTCAGGGTTGATCAGACTTTTAGAGGTAAAAAACTGACCTTAATCTCACAAGAGAACAGGGTAGCAGTTTTCAAATATAGCTTTCGCTAGTTAGTGTCCTTTGCATATTTTCCCCATGCCTGTGTGGTGGAACATGAACTGGCAGATAAATTGGCTGGTTCTGAAACCAATTGGTGGTGAATTGATGCATGAGAAGCTAAATATAAGGGTCCTTTGGGAGGTAGGTAAAAAAAAAATGTGGTGGCACAAATAGATCATCACTGTCTGAGGAGAATGGTGCAGCAAGGAGGGACCCTGGGATCTGGTCGACTCTCAGCACTCAAGGGAAAGGTGACAAGGATATACAATCAAACTGTTACTGGTGCCATCGGAACTGGAACTCTGTGCTTGCTGCTGAAGATGGGGATGGAGCACTTACAGAAATGTCCTGAGTGCTGTGATGTTGATTCTTAATTCAACATTCCATATTCAAATATACAGCACAAGAGAAAAGACTGCCCCTCTGTTTCCCCATCCCCTCAGGTATACCACTAGGTAGGAGACAAACATCACTAAGGAAAATAATTTATGGTAACTGTAAAGCTGCTTTCGCAGTCTCAGTCACTTTTCTCATACAGGTTGTTTGTTGGCATGCTCTGTTCAGTTTGGTAATGACTATCCCTCTATCGCCATCAAGGAAACATCATCCTGATTGTTTTGGGCCATGAATTTCAGATCCAAGTAACACTATTGACACATCACCCACAGCATAAAAATGTCATTAATAATTAACATATAATTACTAATCAAGAACCTGTATTGTTTTTGCCATTATAGTAATTACTGGGACCAGTTTATTGAAAGCAGGCACTGAACATTCCCAGCTTGTTATTATATACAATACACAGATTTAATAGGTTTTATATTATTACGCATTTAAAGGGGAAAAAATATTTGTTGTTTTATATATTATAACATGAGAGTAGGTAAATGAACTTCTCATTTACTAAACAATTTGATCATTGTCTTTAAATAAATATTTGTCAGCAGTCCTCAAAATGGCCACTTAATTTTTTTTTATAGTTTTTTTGTTTTGGTTTAGCTCCTTCATCAAAAAAACTTAATTTTGATTCAGTGGATCACTATTTTTTCGAGTTTAATAATGAACAGTGAACAGTCGTGCAAAAAAAATTTAATTTTTCCCAGTTTAATTTCTCACCTCACAACATATATTAAAGAATCAAAAACTAACATTGCCTTTAATAAATATTTTGTCAGCAAGCCTTAAGATGGCCGATATATTTTTTTTTAAAGTTCTTGTTTGTTTAATTCCTTCATAAGATAACTTAATTTTTATTCAGTGGATCACTGTATCTTTTCCAGTTTAATGAACAGTAAACAGTCCCGCCAAAAATGTAACTCTCCCCAATTTAATTTCTCGCCTCACAACATATAATGCCAATTACCTTTATTATACTACTTTTGCGGGGGAAAGGGGAAGGGGGTTCTTTGAGCCTGAGGATTTACGGTCGCATGGCTAGTGCTGTCACTACGACAGGTGAGGATTTTATATCTCTTATATATTACAGAACCAAAAACTAAAAGTGTCTTTAATGAATACATTGTTCGCAAGATGACAGCAATATTATTTTTTATGTTGTGTGGCTGTGTTTTTTTTTTTTTTTTTTTTTATATTGGGGGGGGGGGGGTGTATTTTTATGAAGATGTTTGGAAATTAAATGACATATCAGTATTGCTTTAAGGTTCCGTGATAGCCAGTTTGATTCCACTCTTTACAGTTTGGCAGTGGACGGTTTTGCATTGATTTTGATTGACAGTGGTATCAAGAGCCGACCAATCAGAAGCAATGGTGAACTACAGAAGGTACAACTGCCTAGTAAAATCAAACAATCAGAAATGCTAGGGTCAGTTCTGCACCCACATCTAAAGGATGGATACACAACTAATTAGCTTACATTACAAACAATGTTTGTTAGTGTCAGTTGATAGCAGTAAACACCACTTTATACGTACCCCATTCGAGGTCTTGCACAGAAACCTCTAAAAGCTATCACCCAAAGAAGCCATAAAACTGACAATTCTGGTTGGTACCATTTCCCTGCAAGAGTCACTTTTCCAACTTACTGTAGAGACATGTTAATGGGATATCTAGCTAATAGATTTCATTTCACCTATGTCTGCACAAATGTCTGTGTGACAGTGGATTAATAAATTTACTAAAAGTAGTTTTTTTTTTTTAAATGGCATTATTTAAAGAGATTCCAAGTTCATATTTTTCCCATTGGCTATAGTTGGATTTTTACTGGGTCACAGGGTCAAGTAAATGTCACGCTATAATTAGATTACAGGCCCTAACAGTCTACTATTTGTTCTTATTTTAGATTTTTTTCCCTTGTTTGGTGATACTTGAAAAATGAAAAATACAGAAATCTGTTTTATTTTTTCTAAATCACCAGGGTGAAAGGTTAGCTTCCTACTGAAAGGCGTAAATGTGACAAGGGAAAGAAAGAACGACAATCAC